GGGGGGGGGGGTCATACAATCATGGAACTAACGGCACATACATGTACAAATATAATCATGAAGTTAATACAATATTAATACAATTATTCACTTTATTAATTTGATTCTATATATGTAAAGATAGATACACGTGTATATGCAGGTATTATTACATAATAAGAGTACTTATTTATAATTTGAACCAACATTCTGGATGCAGCAAAACAAATTGTCTTCACTCTTATTTGATTTTTCTTATAACTTGCATTGACATAGAAATTACAAACTAGAGATTTATGTCGTTCCTTTAAAAGTTCAGTTACGGACCGGACATGGAGGTCAAGTCACAGAGAACTAACGACAGTGCACTGTACATCGTCTGTGGGTGATGCAGATATACTGCAAGTTTTATCAGGATAGCTTTAACTGAGCCCTTATTTGACCTTATTATTAAAGGAACTGCCTACTGCTTAATTATAAAATGCATATATATGAACAATTTCAAATTGTATTTGGAAACATTACAGAAGTCCCAAAAAACTGACCCCATAGTCGCAAATGATGCTTGGATAGAGTTTACAATGCCATCTCATACTTAAAACAAAAGTATACACAGCGAGGGACCGTTGACATCACCTTGGTGTACACCTTTAATCATACCTTTTTTTATTTTTGACCTCTGGTAAAAGGCCACAGTGGCCTAATGGCAATGCACTGCACATCTTCTAAGGGTGAAGAGCTATACTTCAAGTTTCATCAATATATCTTTAATGGTTTAAAAGTCACTGCCCGGACAAGATGTCCCAGAAAAAATGGCGCATATTGACCTTTGACCTTAGGGTTAATATCACAAAGACCTGTGACAGTGCACTTGACATATACGTCAAGTTTCATTTCGATATCTTTAACGGTTACAAAGTTACAGCCCGGACAAGATTAAGAACAAGTATGTCTCCCTTCATTCGAAGGGGAGACGTAATAAAAGGGAGGGAGACTGCTTAATAGGGATAAGAAAGATTTTATCAATGCAACTTATTATTTTAATCCGATGGAAGAAACTGTATACCTACATGTAAGAAGGATGTTGAGGTGCTATCATAATGAACGCTAGACTTGAAATTTAAACTAACAAGACATACTCTGATTACACGTGTGACGTCAAACAAATCTGCAATTAATATTAAATTGCCTCAATATTTCTTCAATGAGTGTGTATGCCAAGGCACACAATGTATTAATTCATACAAGTAACAGCATTAATCATATCTAATCCTAGGTATCTATGAAATGGATTTCACCTGGTGTATGGACACACAAGGCACAAAGGCCGGAAGTGTTTAAACAAGCTCAACATATAGAATAATATTTCGGCCTGCGATTTAGTGCTATTTATAATCATCTTAACTTAAGAAATAAATGATATACCTGTTGAAATATTTTTGCAGTTTTTCAAGTCTATGCTTGAAAAGTTTCCTCGGAGAAAGTGTCGACCTTTCTCTAAACAAAACCATACTCTAACTATTACTGTACATGCCGAGACATAACGGCCAAACAACACAGGAGAGGTTTCAGGAGCCAATATATAGTAGAGAAAAATATGTAAAATGAAAGTGACATCAAACAAACGAAAGAGTAAAAGACAAATGGCAGCTTCAAGCTACATTTGGCTATGGTGACTCGTGTCTCCTGGAACAGGCCATCAGTTTTCAGATAGTTTAAAATTTTAGTGACACTTTGTAACTTATGTAACATTACTATAGCCTATCAGCATCAATTAGTGTTGTATTCGATACTGTCATTCCTTGTTGTTGTATTCGATACTATCATTCCTTATTGTTGTATTCGATACTATCATTCCTTGTTGTTTATTCGATACTATCATTCTTTGTTGTTGTATTCGATACTATCATTCCTTGGTGCTGTATTCGATTCTATCATTCCTTGTTGTTGTATTCGATACTATCATTCCTTGGTGTTGTATTCGATACCATCATTCCTTAATGTTGTATTCGATACTATCATTCCTTGATGTAGCTAAAAACCGTATGCGTTTAAAACGAACCTCGTCCGATGTGGTTTGCACTTTCCCTCAACATTCAGGAATTGTTAACGTTTCAATGTCATTAGTCAAGCGATGGTCCACGACTGCTTGATACACATTTTCGATCTAAAAGTTCTGCAGTGCATCTAAGGCTTCTTTTTGAACTTGAATTCAAACCCATGGAACGTGTCTCCAAAAACTGATCACCGTTTCTTTCAGAAAAGCTACATATAAATGAACATATAATATTTGACGTTATCATTGGCGTTTATGTACAGACAAGGACCGTTGCACTGACCACTTAAAATGACCTTGAACTTTAGTGTAGCGACATGGGACAACTGTGCAGGTTCGGGGAAACATTATTTGTGCTGCTTTCCCTAATAAAATAATATGATGCGACTTCTATGATTGTCAGTGCAGAATAACGGGCTTTCTTGTCTTGTCCTGTTACATGAAAAAATACACACGATTTTATTTTCTCAAGTCAAATATTGTACGAATCAGGGGTATGAGCGAAATCAATGACCTTCACCTAAAGGTACGAATTGAACCAGGTGGACTGCTGTGCAACTGTGTCAAAGTTATACCATTTCAGATGTATAGCCCTTGCGAAGCATCATCTTCGTGACCTGTTGTGTGGATGCAAAATTCTGAATAAACGATCACCCCAATATAACAGCTATTTACACAATACTTTGCATACTGAATCAATTTCCAAATTTTATACTTGCAATCATTGTATGTACATATCAACTACCAGTTTCTGGACTATTTTGTCATCGACAGAGGCTAGCAAGTTCTCACCATTTCATGAGATGACACAACGAGAGGTCGTTTTAACCCCCGCCCCAGATGAACGCTGAGGGACATGCGGGATCTCCTTTTCTACCAGTAAATCAAATGTGGATGAATATTCTGTTCTATCGGCGTGATTGAAAACTCTTACTTCAAACTCGGTTCTACCGAAGTAGATTTCAAGACAGTATTTGACTGACGATGGCCATCCATCCGCAGGAGGCTGTATCCTGATGATACCAATCTGCTGACAGCTAGGATCGGTTGTGTATTTAGGATTATCATCTGTGGAAGCAAATATGGGAATGGTCATTTCCATGAGTTTTCTGTCTTCCATCCAATGTTGAGATAGGAGATTGTTCTCTGTCCGTTTATCGTTGATTTTTAAAATTTCTCCCTTGGACACAACCCTGCTGAAAATGTTGGCACATAAGTCCTGATTATTAACATTTATACGGTGTTGTTGATCATGTTCCCCCTGTATGAAGTATTTATTGACGCGGAACCCGTATGTATGCCTACACATTCTTGCCGACACAGTCCATGGGTCAAACCCGAACATGACCGCGCCTTCCATGACTGCTACCTCGGCTTGCGGAGGAATCAGAACGACGAGGTCTGGGAATGCTTCTTTTATCTGATTGGACACGTAGCCGGATTGAGAGTAGCCTCCTACCATCAATATTAAGTTGACGCCTTCCACCTGGCCCAAGATGTCCTTTACGTGATGTATGACGTTATCCTTAGAATTAAAAAAGGCTTTGAAATCTTTATTGGAAATGTCCATTTTATATGAGGTAAACAACTTGATATCTAACTTGCTTTCCATAATCAGAACGGGTGGAATTTCGACTCGAATGTCATTTTCAGTTGACGTTTTCAATGTCCTCTTCTTAACCTCAAAATTTTTTTCCAGTTTGATCCAGTGAGACGTTTTTGTCTGTTTTAATCTTTCAGCATCTTCTTTTCCTATTTTGGTTTCGATAAAGTCGAGAAAGGATTGGTCAACATTGGTTCCTCCCCAGTCTCCTCCTGAAGCTGGTATAATCTCGATCAGCCTCCCGTCATCGGAAACCTCATGAACTGCGATATCAACAGTCCCACCTAGTCAAAAGAAAATGTTTAATATGTGAATAACAGTAAAATGCTACTTGAACATCAAGTTTTCTTTTGCAATACCGACCAAATGCATCATATGATATTCTAGATTCATACGATCTTGTGCTTGGTTTGGTTTGGTTTAGTATTGTTTAACGTCCTATCAAAAGCTATGGTCATTTAAGGACGGCCTCCCCTGTGTGCACGATGCATGCGTGTAGTGTATGCGTGTGTGTTTTGGGAGGCTGCAATATGTTCGTGTTTGTCTCCTTGTGATAGCGCTGATCTGATGCCGACTTTATAGTGCTACATTATACAAACAACGAGCAAACCAGTCGTCCCACTCCTAAATTGCTGAGCGTTAAGCAGATGTAAAATATCTCGGCCAGTGGACAGAACCCAAAGCCTTCCTCACATGCCCCAAATGAAGAGCACAAAAGCTAAATCTCCAATTCTGCAGGGGATTCTCATATTAGTCGCCTTTAACGATACGTGCAGATGGCAACACCAGGTGTATTCTTTTCTCGATCACCGACCTGCAGGGGTTGGGGATATATAGTGGCGAGGATCAAAAAATATATATTTGCATACATTTGATAGCAGTCTATGCCAGCCTACGTTTGGGTAAAAAATAAACCTATGCTTATTGGTTGCTCGAAAAGAAATGTTTAATTGTGTGCCATTGAAAATGAGTCAAGGGGATTCATATAAACAAATGGGATAGTTCTTTATCCGAACATGCAACTCGGTAAATGTCGTACTTGTTGGCTAATTTTAGTACCACATTTGCTATGTAAAAATGCATCGTGAACGGTTTCACTGCAAGCTAGAACATACCGATATGATTAACCATATGCACGTCAGCTAAATGCTTCTATTAAATGTTTTATATTTTAAGAGATTAATGTATTTGAAGGTATAAATATTTTTATTCTCATATCATGTGTTACAAAGATTACAATCTCACCTCCCATGTCTAGGATCATGTACCGACCCCCTGCAGAGAGAAATTCCTTCACGTTTTTTTCAGAAACACAACTGAACGTTCCTCGTTTCAAAGTTCGGCAGTATATGGCGGCAGCCTCGGGCTCCAGAGCTAAAATCAACTGGTTCGCGGGAATCCCGGCCTATGGAATAATGTACAAGCAATAATTTGTTTACGTTTATCAAAATAAATATGTAATCAGTCTTCAATTCGTGAATCTGCAGTGTTTGAACAAAATGCTGTGATTTCATTTTTTTATTAATTAGAACACACCCCCGGTGTAGAATTGAGCTAAGTTATTTCTTGTTGTATAGTAGCCACTAATGACTTTCCAATGCTAAATATAAGGTTGAGACTAAATCTGCGATACACGCCTATATTAAAGCACATTGTATTTAATGAATCCGCCAAACAGAAACATGCAAAGTTTATACTATATCTGATAGTTCCACCCCATTTTGTCAGTTTTACAATTTTTGTAATAATAAAAAGAAAGTATCGCACACATGTCTGTGCGTTTTAACGCACAGCGGGCGATCGATTTAACCGCACAGTTGTGCGGACGGTACATTTGGTGCGTTATGAGAGCCTATAAGTGTACAGTATATATTGTGTATTTCAAGCATGCATTAATGTGCTTACCTCTACTGCTGCTTCCCTCATAAACTGTTTCGCAGGTTCATTCCAGATGGCGGGAACAGTGAGTACCCAATGAATGTCCTCTTCTGCCACGGGGTTTCTTTCCTTTATCTCTTTAAGCGCTGCAGTTTTTATGAATCGTATGCTTTCCGAAAACACGGCGCAGGCATGAAATGTTTTGCCTTGCTGGTCCTTAACCTCAAGGTTCCGGGTAAGATTCTTGTCCAAAAAAGGTAATAAAATGTAGCACTTTACACCGTTAATATACAGGAAAAATATCATGACCCTAGATCGTTTACTTATTTGTCAAATGTTTTGAACAAATTTAAATTTGTACTGACTATATCGCCAATTAGGATTCACGAGTGGTATTAGAGGCAGTCAGAATTTAAAATGTTTCAATCACTATGTAGGATACATTGGAAAGGGAAAAAGTGCCTGTGAAATCCTTTATAATGTAACAAATTTAAAATCTAAAACTTGTTATCTAACAGAAAACTTGTATATCAACTACAAATTCATGTATAAACAGAAAGCCAACTTAACATTCCTTCATTTTAGAATGTTACTGGCAAAATATTGCACCCAAGGTATTTTGGTTATTCGAGGTTTTAACACATGTTATCCCTATGACCTTGGAAATAGGACAAGGAATTTATTTGAACTAACTTGATACACCTTTTTGCAGACTGCAAAGGGCACATTATCATCAATCTTTGCGTCTTGCTAATTCAAATGTCGTTCAAAGTTTTTAACATATTTTAACTCTGTGATCATTCATTTGAAAAATATTGATTAGCACCTTTTACCGCTTTATTATACAGAAAAAGTCGTTGAAAGGTTTTATCACTTCTGGCCGGGCGACTTTAAAAGATAATAAGCGATTGATTGATGCACATGCTTTTGTTTGATTGATGTGTTACGTCTTTGCAACTTCTAATAAGATATGAAAACAGTAGTAAAAGATCCCTCTTAACAATTTACCTTCTTGTCAAAAAGCTGCATTTTAAATCTACTGAAGTAGTGCCATTCCTGGTGTATCTTTCGATCAGTGAGGTCGGAGTACTTTTCCTCTGCCTCGTATCCAAAACTGTCAAACTTATAATCTGCTTTGAAGAGAGCCACAGTCGGTGCTTTCTTTGAAAGGTTTCCCGCCAGACTCGAATTCCAGCTATTATGAAAAATCTCTCGCGCATCGTTGGACTTTTGGAATTCGCTTTTGAAGCTGTAGGCGTATCCAGTGTACGTCGTACCGAAATCTATGGCCACCACAGCCTCTGGTATGGCAGTCTCACTAGCTGTCGCCATGGTTTCTGTTAAGTATAAATAGAGCCAGGGTAATACACTAACATCAATAAATACAATGCCATTGTAGTGTTGCTTGTACGCTGCGAAAGATGGCGACTGTTGGGCAAGAAAAAGATGAGTTCTACTAGAAAAGCCTTTCGAGATCAGCGGATGCACTGCAACACAAGATTACACGTCGGAGTGTTATAAAATCCTGATGTTTAACTTAAAAAATGCGACTGTTTTAAGGAGGCTCCAAACCTTTCTCAATTAACCAGCAGAAATCGTTGAAACTTTCACATAATTTTAATGCAATTATGTGGAGGTGAGGAAATGATATCTAAGCATTCCTATAAACTGGGGTAGTTTCTGAAAATATACCAGAATAATTGAGTTTTCGTCAATTTAAAAAAAAAATGGTGTCTGGCATCGTTCGGAACAATAACAACAACAAAAATTTAAAAAAGCATTGCTAATTAACCCTACAATTTACAAATATTTGACCCCAAAATATAGAAAACACGTTACACAAAATGTTTTTTATCGAAATTGTATGGCTAAAAGTGATTATCTACAAGCTTTCAGGACACAAAATGTCGCGCCAAAAGAGTGGAAACTTGAACGAAATAAACACAATGGCTTTAGTGCGATGCATTAGTAAAAACTATTTACTCGACAGAGCGTAACGCGCTCGATAGCGAAAATCGTAACGACCTCGAGCTTGTTAACTGGTGTAAGCACGTGATATGGATGTGTGAAGTCGGTGTCGGTACACAAAACACATCAGTCCGCTTCATATATGACCTGCTTAAAGTCGGTGGTCTCATGTCAGTGTCTTCTCGTGAGTCAGTTAATGTCTATGTATCGGAATCTTTGTTTATGAAGTACGCGTGATTACACCTTTTCCAGTAAATTCTCGATATCGGCTGTTGACATATCATCATTACGCGCGTGTACTTTTGTTTACCCTGTATTACTATATTTTACACTACGGCATTAAAATATCCGAAACGCAATACGGAAATGACGACAAGAAAAACATGTTTATTACGAATGGTGAATAGTCCTTAAAGAAGCGTTTGTTACGGGGCCGGAGCCAGTCAATCGGAACAGTCAGTCGACGACTAGTTTGAATTTGATCTAAACAAACAGGTTCAGAAATTATGCGTACTAATCGACCCATGATATAGGTTAAGAAGACTTGAAAGATAACAAAACGTATCAACACTGGTTGCGAAATGTCCTGTAAACAAGCATAAATATGCGTTTTTAAAGACTTGACCTGGATTTAAAGGTAGGGTCAACGCTTATGGATATTTAAGATAGCGTTGGTCCCCGCTTAGAATTTCTAAGCAAGATGAATACAAAAAGGTATAGGTATAGGAAGCTTAAAACAGAAAAATCTAGGTTAAGAATTCATTTTAAGACAAATGGGACCTTATTGACTTACACTGGTGTGGGTGTTGAAGGTGAGGTAATACAAGTCCTAGAGCATTTAAATGATACACTTACTATAAAATTATATCATCATTGTGTGTAACATTTTCCAACTATCATTTTGACACCAAATAGTATACTATTTCAAGAAAGATATGTTCTTTTTATTGAAGATTTAAGTAGAAAAGTATGTCAAATTACATTACCTATGAGAGGAGCCTCATTTTTGACACGTTAATCTACATAATTTAAAAACGAGTCTATTTATCATACTTGTTCACTAAGATTAATTCATGTATATCAATATAACAGTACTTTTATACACTATACACTTTCAAAATACATTTTCAACTTACATTCGCCTGTGACTTTTATCTGTCATTTTTGCCATCGCTCAACCCTTGTGCCATACAAGGAGGTCCACTACGGTTATAAGTAGTAATAATGAATAATCATATATGCAGTAAATTGTTCATTTTTATGTATCTACTTATGGCGAAAACAAATAAAGGAAATTGAAGCGAGGGCCTAATGTTGACCCAACCTTTTTGCGGTTTGGACACTCCGTAATTTACAGCTGTATGGTTGCGATGTTGAATGCAGCTTGTACAGTTGTACTGTAGGAACTGCATATTCGCACCTTGATTGAGCGGTAGTGACTACCTGATTTCAGATACAGTACAAAGAGCCACTTATAGACTGTTACAAATTAACGATAGCTTTGCAGACAAAGATCCACTGATTGTCTTTGTCCATTCAGTGGTGAACAATGAAAACAAAGTGTTTTAAGTTAGAAGCACAAAACGTTGTCCTGCATAATGAATACTTAAATTATAGACACATAATTTAAAGCTAATACCACACAATTAGCATGGAGTATTTTCGCAGTTTTCTTCAATGAACTTGGTTTATGTGTATTTTTAATACCAAGTGAACTGACTGTCATCTTGAAATCAAAATAAGAAAAAAGGATTCGATATTTGCTTATATATGTCAGGGTGAGAACATTGACACAACGGGGATCATTTTGACAGGCCGTGTAGTAAACAGTTCGAGAAATGACAACAAAAAGTACAAATGTAGCAATACATCTAAGGTACACATGTCCGTGCATAATTGGATCTACTGCCTAAATGACGATTTAACCAGAATGTCCGATACCGTTTGTACACACAGCATCATCATCGCGGATTTTTCAAATCTGGTGGTAAACTTTTGCTATTTGTTATATCAATGCCATTAAAAGACTTACATTAAATTTATGAATGAATAATTGGTCATTAGTGCAATAAATGCAATGCATGCCTGTAAAGGTGTACGATTAATTTCCTGTTGCGTTATCAAATTTACCCCCAAAGAAAGGTCTGGTGTTGTGCTAATGGGACTGTTTTTTACTAACACAAAATATGTAAGAAACCCAGGGAAAGAATCTGAGGCGGATGTTAAAAGATCATCATCGCTAAGGAATATTAACAAGAGGCTCATGGGCCTTAACGGTCACCTGAGTTCTGATATATTTATACAGAGAGTTGATTTTTGTTTTTAAAACATCAACAGAAATATTATTCAAATTGACAAAAAAAACACCAATAAAACCACCTTATTCAATATCTAGCATACAGATTTAAGACTGAAAAGTATTTGAACTAGCACCTCTGATTCGTAACAAGGAAAATGAAGAATATTTAGCACACTGACTCCTTTGGGCCTCACCCTACAATCCTTGGGGGTAGGGCTGGCTCAAAATGTTCAAAGTATCAAACTGTCAACTCATGGTTATAATTCCAATTAAGTTATCAACATGTAATATTCAAAGTATCTTAACTTTGTCCTCCTCTTCCCCAGGGATAAACGTGAGACCCTATGGTCATAAAATTCACAATTTTGGTAGAGCACCTTAACACCCTTCCATCTATGAAAAGTATTTGATTCTACCATACCTGAATCTTGAGAAGATTTGAAATTTCAGTCAATTCGACCCTTTTTGGCCCCATCCATCAGCCCCTGGGGGTCACTCAGGACTGATATGTGCATACCATCAAACTGCTATCCAATACTGATAATGCTAACCCAAATTGAATTACTTCCAATGGAAATTAAACAATTAAACTATAGTAAAGTTTACCTCCTCCCCAGGGGAAAACGTGAGAGCCCAGGGTTATGAATTTTACAATTTTGGTTAAGCACCTTAAGATCCTTCCATATATGAAGAGTATTTGATTCTACCATATCTGGGTTTTGAGAAGAATATTTTTGGAATTTGACCCTTTCTGAGATTTTTTGGCCCCGCTCCTCAGGCCCCTGTGGGCTGGGGACCATATAATTCACAAGTTTTGTTAACCTGTGGCCATGGAAGGTGTCTAAGAATTTCATTGATATTGGTTCAGGGGTTTTGGAAAAGAAGTCGAAAATGTAAATTGTTTCCGGACGCACGACGACGGACAAAAGGCGATCGCAATAGGTCACTTGAGACTTTGTCTCAGGTGACCTAAAAAAAGGGCTGATTGGCCGCAGACGGCCGGGACTCGATCCCCGATGCCGTCGTTCGCATGGAATATTCAGAATAAGTGAGACATAGAAGAAAGGAAACAAAAAAGTTCCCAAAATAGCAATTGGGGCAGCGGATCCAACAATCAGAAAACACTGTCACATTACACAGACAACGGGTAATTAAGTTCGGTGGTTGAAAATATTTACCACTGAACGTTATCTTCCTTGGGACACCAAAGCGACCAAAGTAATACTTCTGAACCTTTAGCAACACTTGAATCTGCGCCCATTGCAATATTTAGGATTTTTATCGTTCTTTCTACTTCTAACTTCCTGTTATTTCTCAGCATCTTGCTTGGCAACACCTCACTTTTGGCTTGAATGTTGAGCGTTCTTCCAGGTAAGGAAGGCAATTGGTTCTGTCCCCCGGGTGGGACATAACAAAGTCCTTTAAAATGATAGTTGTTATTTCCTGCTTCACGTTCAGCATTAAGGGGAATGGCAACAACTAGTTCAACCGTTGTCGGTATAATGTAACCGGGCGGAAAGCTGTGCTTGGTGCCTTAGGCATGACATTTCAGTGATATGGTACTATAAAGTCAGCATCAGATCTGCGCTGTCACAAGGAGGCAAGCACACCAACATACCCTGTCTCCTGCATACACACACGCAAGTACGCATACACTACACACATGGAGACACGTCCTTACATGACCTTAGATGTTTATAGAACGTTAGTTAAACATAGTTGAACCTAACTAAAAGTAACATTTGGAAATTTTATATTTTTCTCTACTTCATAACAAACCTTGTTTCTAAGAGTTTGCTTGGCAATGCCTCGCTTTTGGCCAGAGTATTTAATATTCGACCAAGTGAAGAAGGCAATGGGATTTCTCCCCATAGTCGAACATACCAAAGTCCTTAAATATTGGGGTGGTTATTTTCTGCTAGACAGTCAGCATTCAAACATTGTATCGTGGATATCGTAAGGAAGTAAATACACATGTACCCCCACGTCATGCACAGCCTCTAGTATACATTATACATGAAGGCGTGTCTGTCAATCACCTTAGTTGTTAATAGGACGCTAAACCGTATAAATCCAAAACATATGGACACACATGCACTAACCTTAACTACATTACATAAAACATAACCAAATTGATTAACAGCGGAGAAACACCTATTTTGCCGGTTCTCAATCAAACACAAATGCGATAGCACAGCTTCACAAATAGACAGACGTAAAGACTGCCTGTTTCAACAGTCGTATGTCGAAACAAACTACTATAGCTACCACTGAAAACAGTTGGATTTCTTGGGAGTCACCTATAGAATTGGGGATTTTGCGTTCATGACCTCTACACAGGAACTCAAAAGTTACCAATATAAATCTGTTACAGCCATTGCAATGTAGGCATCGTAATATTTTTCTCTTCTTCTAAATTCCTTTTGTTTCCTAGCGTCTTGGTGGCAATTCCTTACTTCTGGTTACATGTATAATGTTGAACGATTGCAAAGTTGAGGAAGGCAATGGGTTCTGCCCCCATGCCAGGACATACTGAATTACCTGCTTTACGTTCAGCATTTAGGGTAATGACTGCAACTGGTCCATCTGTTGTCAGTACAAATGTGCGGAATACTGTGCTGGGTACCTTCAGTGAGATAGCACCATAAAGTCGTCATCAGATCCGTGTTATCACCAGGAGGCAAATACATCAACATACACACATGCACACATGCACGCATACACAACACACATGGACACACGTCTTTAAATGACCTTAGCTGTTAATAGGACGTTGAACAATGTCAAACCAAACCAAGTGATAACAACTGGTCATCCGTTGTCAGTTTAATGTGACAGCGCGGAATGCTGTGTTGGGTGCCTTCGGTATGGTATTTTAGTGAGAAAGCAATATAAAGTCGGCATCACATCCGCGCTACCACAAGGAGGCAATTACGCCAATGTTCCTGCTTTCAGCACATAAAAGCAGGACAACAAAGACACACTCAAGTGGTATATGATCAATGGCAAGATTATGATCTTAACGTACGTTAAATGCACATTGTTATAAAGTGTACACATCTGTGTTTATATCAGGTTAAGGGATTAGTTATTATTAACTTCGAATACGTTTTATTGTATATGTGAGCTGGGGGAGTATGTGTTTGCTCTCTCCTTGTGATAGTGCATATGCAATGGCGCTGTTGGAGTTTTAAAGCAAACAGCATAGTACTAGTATAATGTGACCAGAAGTAATGCTATGCAGGGTGCCTTCGGCATAGTATTTCAGATAGATGCACTATAACGTCGGCATCAGATCGGCGCTATCGCTTTGCGGCAATTACACTAACATACCCAGTCTCCAGCACACATACATTACACTAATAGAGACACCCGCTGAAATGAACTAAGCTGTTTAAAATAGGACGTTTAACCTCACAAATCTCTTCAAATATTTGTTTAGAAATATCATTACTTATGTAATACATACATGGCTATGGAAAAGGGGAGTGTAACAGTGAATAGATACTACTGATAATATATCCCGATCATGTTTGGTAATGAGGTCGAACTAACTCCAACGTCCAGTCGCGCGTAACGGCAATCTGTGTCCATTACAGTTCATTTAGAGTAACAATAATGTTAAAAGATCAATAACTTTTTTAAATAATCAAACCAATTACCTCATATTCTGCTTCTAGTTAACGTCTTTCGTTATCTCGATATGACTTCCTTGTGCACGAGACCTATTCCGATAACTAGTATAACTTCCTTGTTGGTTATAATCAATGCATACACACTGTCAGCCGAGCGAGCAACTAAGGGTCATACGTTATGTAAAAATATGTTAATTAAGGCAATGCCGTTTTTATCGTATACCTGTCGTGTTGTGCAATGGAAAAGAACATGTGATGTTTGGGTTAGGTTTGGTTTCGTTTTGTTTTGTTTAACGTCATATTAACAGCTAAGGTCATTTAAGGACGTGCTTCCATACGTGTTGTGTATGCGTGCATGTATGTATGTGTTCTGGAGGCAGGGTATGGTGGGGTTATTGATACCTTGTTATAGCGCGGATCTGGTGCCGAGTTTATAGTGCTAAATACCATGCCGAAGACACCCAGCAAAGCATTCCGCCCAATCACATTATACTGACAACAGGTGAATCAGTTGTTGCCATTACCCTATATGCTGAACGTTAAACGGCCTGGTGACAGAACCCGTTGTATTCCTAACTTGGGCGAACGCTCACCATTAAAGCCGAACGTAAGGTGTTACCAAGTGAGACACTAGGAAATAACAGGTAGTCATAAGTAGACAGAAAAATAAATATCCCAAATGTTGCAATGGATGCAGCAGATTTATTTTGGTCGCTTTTGATTTAACTGAGGTCATACGATGACAGGTGCTGAAGGCGGAAGCACCGAAAAGAAAAAGTAGGGATGATATGGTTTCAGCCATTTGTTAAGAGATAATGTCATTTAAGGACGTGCCTCATTGTGTGCAATATATGCGTGCATGTGCGTAAGTGTGCCGGAAGCTCCCAACATAGTATTTTATTTAGTAACATTATATTGACAACGGGTGAACCATTTGTTGCGATTTTCCTTCATGCTGAACATTAAGAAAGAAATAACAACTACGACTTTTAAGGACTTTGGTGTGTCTGATCATTGCATACAACCCATTGTCTTACTGACTTGGGGAAACTGTCAACACTAAGGTCAAGAGTAAGTTATTGCCAAGAAAAACACTATGATACAAAAAGGTTTGAATATGTTACGCAAAGTAATTTTACCGTGCTCTGTCCAGTATTATTTTGACAAATCTACTTTTCGCCCTCTACTTTGGAACAGAAAGCAATCAGAATACATTTGCTGTACCCATTGCAACATTTCAGATATATACACATTTTTTTTTCGTTTCAAACTATTTTTGGTGTCCTAATGGCAAAAAATAATAATTTCAGAATAGCATACATGTTTGTCAGCTTGTCATCTAAGTCAAAACATTAACGTGTCACTCTACTGCAGCATCCCTCATGAACTCGCTTCTAAGTAATTCAAGCTGGCGGAAAATGAACACCAATTTAATGTCCTCGTGTGGTGTGGGGTGTCTTTCATTTAACTTTTTTTTTTTTTAGATTCTGATCAAATGAGAAAATAGTTAAGGTAAAACACTGAGCTATGAGCATACGATAGCGGAAGTGGTTACTGCGATGAACTGAAATGAAAAAAAGATAATGCGTAGAATGTGTATTCTTTTAGATACAATTATCCGTACCGTATAAGACACGCGATATGTGAAAATAAAAAAATACTGGACTCCTATTCCCATCGAAATAATTCGCCATATTGTCAAAAAGCGATGTTTTGATTTACTGTAATAGTGTCATTCATTGTGTTTCTTGAGCTCAGAGTACTTTTCCTCTGCCTCGTATTCAAAACTGTTTTATTCATTTATTCGGAACAAGATTCATCGGTTTGGTATGAATAATAAAGGTTATTTCGAACACAAGCAGGAATTACAAACTTATTTTGCGAGCTTTCGAAAACGTCTGTTTCCTTTGTCAAGCAAAGTGGGTAAGTGGCGTCATTATATTAGTGCTCAAATATAGTTCCTGTAATTTCATATCATGATATTGTGTTGTTGACCAAATCACACTACGATACTCAAATACCTAGAAAGTCTAAAGCTTGAAATATGTGAAATCCAAACAACAGTACACTATTTGAGTGTCTCCACTAAAGCAGAATGAAAACTACTACATGTAAGTGATAGCAAATCAAAGACTGACATATAAGTAACCAATTTAGCTCACTCTTTACTAGGGAAGCATCAACAGCTAAACCATACATAGACACAACTTGTAATTATAACATTGGAAACATCACCATTAAGGAAGAAGGGTTACGCAAACTACTCAACGACATCAAGACATCAAACACCTCTGGATCAAACTCCATCCCATACCGAGTTTTGAAAGAATGTTCTACTGATCAACTGGCTTCATCTGTAACGCTCATGTTCAAAAGATGACTTGATACTGGAACGTTACCCAAAGACCTGCTCAACGCCAGCATAACTTACGACTTCCAGTTTCTTTGATATCTGTTCTAAGTAGACGACTCGAGCACATAGTATGTAGACACATGGTGCGTCATTTTGAACACAACAAGATACTTGTGTGAGGTGTAAGGGGGTTCGTTACCAGGTCACCGCCTGGATTTGAGATATCTACACCGTCCCCTTAGTACAATATATACATGTATCGGATTTACTACAACTACATGCCGCCCGGGCATGCTAAAGCAACATGAAGATATTTACAGTGGTTATTTGACCACAACGTATCGTTAACCATACATATGTAAAGTGGCAGCTGCACACACTGCTGTCAACAGTGTTGTTAGTAACGCGGTGGCGGGCGACAACAATGCGCGGTTTCTGGTAACCACGCCGCTCTGCCAGCTCTGCTACCAACCAACCGCGTCTCTAGATCTGTATATGTATACGTGCGAGGCTTGTCGGAACGCCGTGTATGTTACCTGTACACCAGTCCGCCACCTACACTAACACCGCTCCACCGATCACCTACCTATCACTGTAAGTAGTGGTAGCCAACGTGCATGTCTCACAGACCACTCTCCGCTGACAGTGTCTATCGGTATTGATATAGTATGGCCTTATTCAGGCCTTTAATATATCCACACGCTATTTGGGCATATATATTACCTAGCTTTAGTTGGCTTCATATATAAACCTACCGTTGTTAGCTTGGTCTTTATCACACTGTGATCAATCACAATCTCCCTGGCCGGCTCAGCTCACCTGTATTTATACCCTCTGTAACCCACGTGATCGGATCCATCTGTATCTCCATCACGTTTTACGTGGATGTAATTGTAGCAAGACTCTTTCCGCCTGGATCTACTTTCGCTTTCCATTACACTTGCATCACTCAACCATGGGTCCCACTCTTTTTATTCATGCGAGACATCGTTGGCAGGCCCAATCGAAGACCTTACAACTAGCTTCGCACCAGACTGACATCGCTAAATTGCTAAGCTTTAAGCTAATGGAATACGATGGCTTCTTCACAAGTGGATTTAATCATTCCAATGTAACCGCGTCATGAAGGTTGTAGTCAAATCCCTCAAGGAACCGTCATTGGACCCAAGCTCTTCCTCTGTCATATAAATGACTTGCCAGACAGAGTAAGATCAAAGGTACGACTCTTCGCAGACGACTGTCTCCTGTACCGAGAAGTAAAGTCATGGAAAGACCATGGTACTCTTCAACAAGACCTGGAAAATTTAAAACTATGGGCACAACAATGGGGCATGCTATTTAATGCCACCAAATGCTATATACTAAGGGTACAATAAAAGTCTTCATATTTCTACCACCTGAACAACACCATTTTAAAACAAATCCAGCCAAATCCGTATCTTGGGGTAACTTTGTCATCTTACCTCGAATGGACAACACGCATCAACAACATGTGTATAAAATCTAGTTAAACACTTTGATTCATCCGCAGGAATTTACGACACTGTCCTAAAAGCACCAGGAAAACATAGTACATCTCCCTAGTATAACCAACCTTAGGATACGGAGCCATCACATGGGACACTAACCTGCAATCTGACATTACTAAGATATAGAAAACCCAAAGACGAGCTGCCCGATTTATGGTTGGAGACTACAAATCGAGAACACCAGGTAGCGTACAAATATGCTCAAAGACCTAAACCTACTGGCGTCTCGACTTTAATCCGCTGAAATGTTCATTTAGTCACAGTGGGTCGAATCAGTAGTCAGCTGTCAAAAATCAGAGACAGTTTGCCAAATTGCACTCTAATGATGCAGGCAGTCAGGGGGACGGGAAACATGTTTACCCATTCCACCCCTTATTGGAAAATCAGTCGTTTTTATGATCCCATTTAAGCATTCACTAAGGGATGGAATCGGTATAACATGTGTTGTATAGTGTGTATATATATGTAAATATGTGTTTTTTTGACAATTTGCTGAGATGTTGTATTCTGGTGGTTTTCTGGTGCGGTTTTGCTTTTGTCTGAAATATTCAATTAACCTTTCGTAGTATATCTATAAGTTAACATTCGGGTGCTGATGTACTAATTTTCAATATTTGTCGTACGCTCCGTGCAAGTGCATACTTTTCGTGTGGTTGTGGTGTATTATCGCTTTTCCCGCAAAAGTTGTCACATTGTCGAGTTTTTTGTTGCTTTATTCAATAACTATACGGTGTTGTTCTGGTAGGAACTTGGATAGATTTTATAGTAAAGGATTTATTGGATATTCCTGGGATAGGAAACCATTAGGCGGACAAAATCATGGAACTCAGTTATGTCCTTGGAAACATCACTGAAGATGTATTTATAGCCATTCCCTACTTGACACCCTCATCAGCTATGATGTAGGAGATTGGTTTTTCTTCTGCATACAGGCATTGGTATGATTCAGCTGACCGATCGTGATTCAAGGTGAGAAATCCTTCCAAATGTTAAACCCGCAAACGATATACCTATGACTATGCTGACCACCGAAACATTTACCAGGATAAAATCCAAGATCAAGACACCCAGTGGGACCGCGGGAAGGAACGTGGCAGGTACAGAGATTATGGTGCATGTGGGCACAATTGGGAAAGAGACTGACATACCAAAAGCTCTTGGTCAAAGTCTTTGCGGTATGAAGAAAAGACAGGATGGAATGCTTTCTGAACCAAGTTCACAAGGTTTGCAGAACCTTCTCAATGGAGTTCAAGGGAGTGTCGCGACAACCTATGTTACGTATTGGAGGACAAAACTAGCGAGTTACATACGCTGTTAATTGACAGGGAACCACAGATGGAGTTCTACGATATCATGAACAAGCTTAAGTTGGAGCGCAGATTTGGTTTCACAGAATGACCAGAAACCAGTCAAGCAAGATTAATTTCAACAAAACAGTGGCTTGATGAGACATTGGCTGACTGGGCAGACCGTATTCTGTCGTTGAGCAACAAAACATGCAAAGATCTGCCCGATGATTACATGTACCAGAATGCAAGCCATATTGACCATATGTCAAGGTGCATACGATAAGGAGACGGGCCAACACGCTGCTATAGAGGGGAACAATCAATATATGATACTTTAAATCAGATCAGATGGTATCAGCACAACATGGAAGCCATCTATGGACAGGAAAGAAACCCCAGTTCTTTCTATGTGAAAGAGAACGACGGAGGAACTTCCTCCAAGCCTCAAAACAATTGGATTTTGCAATATTAAGGTGGCAGGCTATACAAGGATGCACAATATGGAAAGGAAACTAGATATTAAATAGAGCAAGAGATCTGACATGGAGAAGAATATGAAGAAACTCATCGACAGTTTGAATTATTAAAAGAGACAAGACCAAGTGTCCTGGGAACAATGCCTATTTCAATTGTGGTCAAAAAGGGCATTGTCCAAATCTGAGCGAGGAGAAAAAAATCAGACAGTAACAATGAGGATGAAGAGGTATTGGAAGACAATTTGCCGTTAAACGACCGGTCAGTGTTGGAAGAGGCCTGAGGTTGTATTCCAAGTCAATGTTGAGAAACAAACGGTCCAGGAAAATCTTTTGGAGCCGTATGACTCGAGCGGTAACCAAGATGCGTCCGTGCCAAGAATGATAGAAGATTGAGATGACCGGGAAATCGTGATGAAAAAATAGCAACAGCCTGCACAAATTTAAAGACCAAGACACGATTAAAGAGCATAGAGTTGGGGGAAATATCCTTGACAACCCAGGTGACTCCGATCCAAACTCAGCACAATATTTTAATCTGGAAGTGGACACTGCTAACAATACGGAAAGTTCTGAAGGATTGACTGGACCAGTCGAACGAACTATGCAGGAACCTAGTCATATAAAGAAATTAGGCTCCATTACAATTTTCCTGGTTTCGCTGGATATTGCAGGGTGTGCAATAAAGGCGGTAGTGGATACCGAAGCCGAGGTGTCAGTTATGTCTGACGAAACCTGCAAAGGACTTTAGAAATGGCCTCCGATAATCATAGATGTAGCCCTGTACATTGTATGCTGCAGGCCGGGGCATGACATTAAAGGGCTTCATTATAAGTCCCGTTATTCTTACGTTAGGATCCAGTGTTTATACGAACAATATATATATGGGTCCTATAGAAGACGACGCTTTGCTTGGTTTAGACGTTTTGACGCCCAATAAGGCGATGCTAAACTTGGAGCAGGAGTATCCCACCTTGAATCTTTATGATAAGGAGATATTACTACACACTGAAAAAGTAGCTACACCGGATGTGAAATCGACACGTATGCAAGTGCAAAAATAGACGGTTGTACCGCCAAACAGTATAGTTAGGTTAAAGTGCAAATTAGACCATAGTATAGGAACACTTCGAATTCATTGTAGAACCGACGTTACACATTCCTAGAACTTTACACAAGTCATGTATAGAGTGCCAAATTTCTTGCATAAGTACGTCGAATTGGAACGTTATTATCAAAAGACAGATGAAATGTGCTTATGCAATATGTGTAGAGGATGAGTTTGAATCAGTACTGGGTCTGCAACCCGAAAGGTATTCATGTGTGAAATTTCCACAAAAAGGGAATTCAATGATGCTATACCCAGACATGAGGAACTCATTCAGGATGAACATAGAGGAACTAGAGAAATGGCCAAGTGTCGTGTGCGAATACGAGGACATTTTCGCAAAAAAAAACCCGACTTGGTCATTTTACAGCCATGGACCACAAAATCCATACAGATGACGCGGTTCCTATCAAACAAAGAAAGAGAAACACCAACCTGTTTTGCAAATGAAAAAGACTCATCTGGAAAGAATGCTGGGTGTCAAGGTTATAGAACCTTCTATGTCGGAATGGGCATCAAATACCGTTTTGATTGGAAAAGAGATGGTGGAGTCCGTTGGTGTAACGAATACAGGGCATGAAATGCGATGACAACTAACTATGTAATTCTACTGCCTCTCGTTGAGGAATTTTTGGATGCATTTTTGAAGAACACATCCTTTTCGAAATTGGACGCAAATTCTACCTACTGCAAAGGAGGACCGGAACAAAACTACATTCCATACCAAGCATGAGTTTTGTGAAAATCGCATTGGATTGTGCAACTCCCCTTCGTCGTACGTAAGAATTTTGAATCTAGTTCTTCGCGGCCTGACGTGGTATATTGTTCGTGCGCTCTTGGACGATATTCTAGTACTGCGACAAGATTTTGAGAAGCCGTGTTTGAAAGTTGTACTGTACCACACGAAAAGAACTGTAAGCTGTGGTCAGAATGACCAATCATTTCCAGCATTATCTCTTAGGTCGTCCCGTGGTGGTTAGGACAGACCACAGTAGCTTACAGTGGCTACTGAACTTTAAGCTCCTCAGGGGCAAGTTGCTAGATGGATGGAGGAGTAAGGTCAGTGTGATTTGATAATCAAACACCGACGTGGACAGAATCACCAGAATGCTGATAGTTTGTCAAGACTCCCTGAAAGGGACATGTATGGAAACTATGAATTGTGCTCAGACTTGAACAAGTTACCGTGTGGTGG